TTCAGCTAGCTACCCCGTTTTCAGGGTCAAGGGAATTCAGTGGAACTATTATTATTGAACGTCAGATGTCCGCCATATTAGATTCCAAGATGGCCGCTATGATAAACATAATGACTATTAACTTTGGAAAACTAGGCAGATAGTGAAGAGCAATTCATTGGCACTACCCGCAATTTCAGGTCCGAGAATCCAACGAAATCGTTTACTTATAATCATTTATGGATTCCTGCTATGATTGGGTTTCCAAGATGGCTGCCATTACCTACAAAATGCAACAGGTTTTAGTGTATAATGTATGATAACATTATCAACTTAAACAAATTCATTAATAATGTAAACTTATCCTTATGTAATCTCTCATAGCATGTTTTGAAGGATGAGGCATCAGAGCAAACTTGGATGCATAAGTAATCTTTTTTATTAGCATCCATAGATTTTTATTGCGAAATGTCACCTCAAGCATCGACAACAAACAACAAACAGATTCACTGCCCCTCTATTCTTGTTTAACAGTGGTATGACTTGTACCTCACCAGTTTTCGTTTTCATACAATTGTCCGTTCACAGGTGCATAGTACGTGCACTGGAGGCTCGCCTGTAACATTTGGCAGTTTTCCTTGCGCAGTCTTCTTGCCACTTGCAGTGATTTAGCTCGTAGCAAGCCTTGGCTAGCTTCAGGAGTAAGGTCCATTGCCCTGCAATAGTCCATCACGCTTCCAACCCCAGTCAAGCTGGCAATCGGAACAATCTGGTGTTGTGCATAGGATTACACCATAGTGTGGCTCCTTGGTAATGCGAGCTCGTTCTTTGCTTGTTACCATTAGAGACTGCCGCCGTAGTGGATCTTTTCTATCTCCTTGACTTCTTGGAGAAACAGGTAGCGTCTTGCGCGTATCTACCGCTGAGCTCACTTTGGTGCAGGTCATTAAAACAAGACGACGAATCTCTCCAGTATGTCCCATGACAGCTCTTCGGATACGTCAGCAAGGTTGCGACACATGTGACCTTGGGAATGCGTCTGTAGCATATAGGGTATGCCTGCCAAAGACATGTATCACGAGCCTGTTAAATTGCGGATGAAAAACAATGCCGTCTGTGGACGTCTCTGGCCCAAATACTGCCGACTTATCTGGATGTACCGCTATATGTCTGTAGTTCTTACCAGTTCGAAGCACCCATATTCATGCCAAGACCAATTTCCAAGAATTCTAGTAACAGCTATGACCACCACATCAGTGTCACAGTGCGGATATCATTTGTGTGTCCCGTGAGCAGACAGTCATTAAACATGGACAAAAAATTCCTCGAGTCTGTTTCTTCATGTTGGAGCTTGAGTTTCACAAGATCTTTGGATGGCACACAACTTGAATTCGCGCAGCGTGCTTGATGTTGCCTTGTCATATTCAGTTTCATGATCTCACATTTCTGGGCAAGGAATTGGAACAATTCCTGTTTGTTGTCATTGTTTCGAAGGAAGCCTGGCCAGTTGCCTGGAATTCTCGTGGCTGAAGTTACACGACGTCTGATACCACAACCTCGTTTCTCCCTTGCGTTTTTCAAACTGTCTGGACGATAAACATCCCACACGATATCAATTCAACTGGCATTTTCCAATTCCTTCAACACATATGGCAGGAAGACCTCCTGAGCGTAATCCTCGAAGGTGCCACAGGTACCAGGCACCAGAAAGTGAACCACTGCAGGACCGTCAAGGACTTTAGCATTGACTACCAAAGGACCATTAATAATTGTCACATTTCCTTCGAGACAGTCCAAAAGCTTATGCTTGTCACCTTGTCGCAGCTGACCTCCCGTTGCGAGTGACGGTGGAGTGGACTGGTTTTCATGCCTGAAGAATTCATCAATATCACCATCTCTCGTTTGACTGGAAATGTACAACCTTGAAAACAGAGCCCTGTCATTCCTCAGCTCAACCAACCTCCCTGCTGTCTTGGTCTTTTCGACGCCACGCTTGCTGAACATAGCCAGATTGTTGCGAGGAATGGTGTCTCGAATTGATTTCGAATTGGACTTTAAGCGCTCATCCACGAATCGGTCATATTTAGACTTCCCCAGTGAATGGACATTCCTCATGGCTTTTACAACTTTCTCTGGCATGATGGCTTTGGAATTGAGATTTAGCAAATCCATGCTCTCTTCCATGAATGGGTTGCCCATCTCTTCAATTGTGGCCACCAGTGACTGTACATCTTGGACAAATTTCGCCTGGACGCTTTTCATCTGTTCGTGGTGGCGATCAGAGGTATTGGCTGTCCCACTGTCGTCGAAGCCATCCTCAAACTCTTCAACTAGTCTTGCTATCTCAGGTCCAGCTACCATCCATCCCCTAAGTGCTCCAGGGGTTTCAGTAAGCCCAACTGCTCCACCGTCACCCTTAACTAGTGCATTTACCTGTTCGTGTGCATGGTCCAGCGAAATGGCAGAGAATGGTCGGCTTGTCTTGTTGGCAGTGAATCCTTCACGTTTGAACTCACGAAAGACATTTGGGCATCTTACTTCTAAGGTTGACATATCTTGCACATAGACCGGTAACCAGCGGGCATAGTTTGGGTGGTCCAATGCAAAGAACCAGGGTATCAAATCGGTTTGCGATGCAATGTACAGGTCAAAATCTGACACTCGCAGGGACCTTACAAACTGGAAGATAGTTTAGGCTCAAAGTCCTAACACTGTCTGCCAAAAATGAAACTGCGGGGTGCTTTTTCTGACCTCTCAGCACACCACTCTGTGAAATTCATCTGGGTTTGCCCCTGGACATCTTTTACTGTTTTCCATCTGTTTAGAATTAAGGTATGCCTTCTGCTGTAACTGATACAAGCTGCAGCAGTCCCTTGCTGTGCGGCGGGTCGTTAAGTGACATGGACGCACGAGGAATCCCTGTCACAGGTACCTTGCAGCCGCAATGTCTGACCCTGGGTCAAAGCGTGCGCCCATCCCACATTTTAAAAAAAATAAAAAAGTTATTTTACATTTATTACATGAAGGGTGGTTATTAAAACCTGTCTGCATTGTGTAGGTATGATCAGCCACTCGGTTGGAATCCAACTATGGCCAAACCACTCCTGAATGTTTATAATATTTAATTTCGTTGGATTACCTCGACGCCTGAATTCTGACGGGTAGGCCGACTGGAAATTGCCTTCTATCTGCCTGTTTCCAAGTTAAGTCCATTTATGTTTATCATAGCGGCCATATGTTGGAATCTAATATGGGCGACATCTGACGCTTCATAATTGAAGTAGTTCACTTAGAATTCCTTGACCCTGAAACGGCGGGGTTAGCTACTGAATGACTGACATTTCTATCTCTTAGAATAACGAATTCCAAAGTTACTAGTCATTATGCTTATAATAGCGGGCGCACTCTTGGAATCACTATATGGCGGCGACCTGATGTTTCATACATAATGTTTCACTGAAATGCCATTGACCGCTAAAAAGGCGGGTATAGCCGATAAAATTTACATGTTCTACTCTGCCTTAGCCTTGGAGATATAGGCAAAAGTATTCCAGCCTGGCGGCCATATCGAAATTGAAGATGGCGGCCACAGGGGGCGATGTCTGCAGCGTTGGGGTCCAATCGAAAATGACCCCACTGTGGGGTCCCAGTACGTTTGTGCAAGTTTCATAATTTCTCCAAAAAGTGAAATATTCTGCCACTGATTTCGGCGCCTTAGCGCTGGACTAGAGCGATCGGGGAATCGGGTTAGTGTCGCGGGGAAACACAACCGCCGCTTAAGTGGCGTTTGCGCGTGTTTTTGTTCTTCTTCGCTGTCAAGATGCTGACTACACTGTGGTGCAAGTTATTAAAGTTTATTCAGTTGTTAATACACACGTTTGGGTTTCTGCGTTACATTTTGCTGCGAAGTGACAGTCAAAAACCTGGGTATTCCTTTGACGGACGCAACGTAATATATAAGGTACTCCCACTATATGTCGATCTACGGGCCATACTACGCAAGGAAGATGGAGAAGGAAGAAGAACCAGGAGGCAGTCGCTGAGTACACTGCTGGCAAGAAAACTGAAGGGGAACACGGAGAACGGACGAGAGGAGCAAGAGAGAGGGAGGAAGAGAGAGAGAGAGAGGAGAGAGAAGAGAGCAGAGGACGGGGAGAGGGACAAGAGTAGGAGAAACGAAAACGACTCGAAGAGCGATCCGAAGCAGAGACGAAGAATGGCGGAGAGCGAGAGCGGGAGGACAGAGCGAGACGGCGCGCGGGAGAGAGAACGGTGGATACACACGGCGTAGGATCTACTGTGAGTAAGTCAGCGTGAAGAAAGGAACGGCCGGTGTTGCATCCGTGATACTGCGAGGGTCGAACTATGTGCGTGTGAGAGCGAGAGAGAGGGGAGAGCAGAACAGAGAAAGCAAGGTTGACAGAGCAGAGACAGAGGACGTGAAAGATAAATTGCGAACAGTAATGGCTAAAAAAAAAATCTAGGGAATTCTAGAATTTAATTGGTGGAAAGCTTTAATATCGTGCTGTCGAAACTGGACGTGAAAGGTGTGACATCGTCAGGAATGTGTATTTTTATCTGTTTTTTCTCTTGTTTTTATATACGCGGAATTTTTTTTCATGGTATATGCTTGTGACCGTTTGTCTTTGTGTGGGAAAATCTTTTGTGTGAAAACTTTGTGTAGAATGTGTGATCGTTTTCTTGAATTTGTATACATATCTGTATTCGATATCTCTGGGTATTGTCGATGCGGGGCTGGGAACGACAGCGCTGGCAACAATGTATCATTAGATGGTTATGCAACAGTAAATTTCTTCTCCTATCCATATTATATACCCCTGTTTTCATCCCAGCTCATTCGGGCTATTGCGGAGTGGTCCGTTGTTCAAGCGCATACTACTACAGTGCATACATACATTGCCCTCATGCTCTTTACAGTACTATGCACACCGGGAGAAGCTGAGGTTCATTGACCGAGAGAGGGAATGACCTAGAGAAAATGAATAGGACACGCTGCGCATTGCCCGACAGGTCGCCAACGAAACCGGCACTCTGATGGCGGGAAACCTGTGCAACACCAATCTACCGATGACACCTGGTGACGAAAATACACGACAGCAGATACGCGACATCATGAAGGTGTGTGGCTCGACCCCGTGGGGGGATACTCGCCTTTTTTGGGGGGTAAGGGTGGTCCACCTAAATGGAAAATTGAGAGCAAAAGATGGCTTGACTGTGAAAACATGGGTAAAAAGATGGCTCGATGGTGAAGACAGGGTAAAAAAATGGCAAGGGAAAAATTAGAAGGGGGGGCAAAAAGATGGCAAGGAAACAAAAAATGGGGGGCAATAATGCAGCGCATATATATATACGTCACTATGAGGAGTACCCCCCCCCGGGGGTGGGGGGCGGTGGTTCGACATTAGTCACGTGTGAACAGTAGAACCTGTTAGCGACTCGTGTGAAACAACGTGTTTACTAATTTTGAAGAAAGTGATACTGCTAGAAAACCATGATCTCTCAGTGTTATTAAACAGGCATAACTGTCGCCCCCCCCCCCCCACTTACAGGAGCAGGTGCTTTGGGCAGTGGAAGAGGGAGCAGATTTTATTGTACTGGAGACAATTGGTCACCTAGAAGAAGCCTTGATTGGGTTGAAAGTTATCCCAAGAGTTTGGAAAGGTATATATGCGTATAATAAGCCTCGTCTACACGATGAACCTTAACTCGAGTTAAGCGTTAACTCGAGTTAGCGATTATGTAGCATCTACACGACAACACCCGATAGCGATTATTACCGTTTTATTACCGCTAGACTGCGCTACTTATGCATTTCGTTTTTTTGTGCGTGCGTGCGTGCGTGTGTGCGTGCGTGCGTGTGCACGTACACGTGCGTGCATGCGTGAGTGCGTGCGTGTGCACGTCCGTGTGCACGTGCGTGTGCACGTACATGCGCGTGCGTGCGTGCATGTGCACGTACACGTACACGTGCGTGCGTGCGTGCGTGCGCGCGTGTGCAGGTGTACACGTTCGTGCGTGCGTGCGTGTGCAAGTACACGTGCGTGCGTGCGTGTGTACGTACACGTGCGTGCGTGTGCACGTACACGTGCGTGCATGCGTGAGTGCGTGCGTGTGCACGTACATGTGCGTGCATGCGTGCGTGTGCAAGTACACGTGCGTGCGTGCGTGCGTGCGGGCGTGTGTACGTACATGTGCGTGCGTTCGTGCGTGTGCACGTATACGTGCGTGCATGCGTGAGTGCGTGCGTGTGCACGTACATGTGTGTGCATGCGTGCGTGCGTGCGTGCGTGCGTGTGTACGTACACGTGCGTGCATGCGTGAGTGTGTGCGTGTGCACGTACATGTGTGTGCATGCGAGCGTGCGTGCATGTGCACGTACACGTGCGTGCGTGCGCGCGTGTGCACGTACCCGTTCGTGCGTGCATGCGTGCGTGTGCACGTACACGTACACGTGCGTGCATGCGTGCGTCCGTGTGTGTGCACATGTGCGTGCGTGCGTGCGTGTGCATGTGCACGTACACGTGCGTGCATGCGTGCGTGCGTGCGTCCGTGTGTGTGCACGTACACGTGCGTGCGTGCGTGTGCATGTGACCGTAGACGTGCGTGCGTGCGTGCGTGTGCACGTACACGTGCGTGCATGCGTGCATGCGTGCGTGTGTACCCACACGTGCGTGCGTGTGTGCACGTACGCGTGCGTGCGTGCGTATGTGCGCGCGTGTGCAGTTACACGTTCGTGCGTGCGTGCGTGCTTGTGCAGGTGCACGTGTGTGCATGTGGGCGTGCGTGCGTACGTGCGTGTGTGCAGGTACACGTGTGCGCGTGTGTGCGTGCGTGCGTGCGTGCGTGTGCACGTACACGTGCGTGCATGAGTGTGTGCGTGCGTGTGCAAGTACACGTGCGTGCGTGCGTGCGTGCGTACGTGTGTACGTACATCGTACTAGTGTTGCCGCTTATCGTGGAGTTATGTACTATTCACTAACTCGAGTTAAGAGTCTACACGGGGCCTTAACTCGAGTTAGCTTAACCTCGATCGACTGGCGAGGTTAAGCTAACTTGAGTTAACGCTAACTCGAGTTACCTTAACTCGAGTTAAGGCCCCGTGTAGACGCTTAACTCGAGTTAAGCGTCGTCGTGTAGACGAGGCTATAATGTAGACAAATATGAGCACACCACTTGTTTGTAATGAACTGCCAGTGTTTATTTACAGTAGGAATGTAACATATTGCACTTTACCTAATTTACTTCATATTTTTCTGGACTTTCAGGCTTGCCAGCAGTGGTAACTATGAATATTCACATATCCGAAAATTCAATCGATGATGTAGCCATGTGCCAATAGAGGATGCTTTAAGTCAGGTGGAGAAAGCAGGTGCAGCAGTCGTTGGGATCAATTGTGGCAGAGGACCAAGCACCATGCTACCTGTCATGAAGAAGATTAGGCAAACCTGCAAGGTAATACCCTTCAAATAGACTTTTACCACTTCCAACCCCACTAGCGCAGGCCTAGGAGATGAAGAGCAGTAGACATTTACAATTGTGAAATAATGCCTGCATGGGATCAGATGCAATTATTGTTTGTGGAATCTTATGTAGTGGATGTTGCTTTTACAGGGGCCTCTTGCAGCACTGCCTGTCCCTTTCAGAGTAAGCAATGAGCAGCCAACTATGCAGACACTGACTGACGAGAATGGTAAGCAGAAAAGTCAAATGGTTCTCTGAGAGTCATTGAGAGGCTGTGCTTAATTAATTATAGGTGCCATCTCATATTATTACTCTTTATAATAATAGATACGAAAGCCCTCCTCTCACAGGTCTAAAGGTCGCAGGATAGAACCTTATCACAGTTCATGGGCATAATGTTACATTTGATACAGAATTGATTGAGTCAGAGTGAGTCAGAAATTGATTGATGATCACCAGATAGAAACTTGGTTTAAAATTGATGCCTTATTTAGATGTAAAGTTTGACACTTGATGTCTAAATGCAAATCATAAATAGCAATATTTATTTTTAACTGTTACTTAAAGGGAAGAGAGCATTTCCAAACAACTTGGAGGCACACCTCAACTCTCGTGACCAGATTGCTCAGTTTGCTAAGGACTGCCAGGAGGTAAACAACATGCATTGTCTTCTCTTAGAGAACTTCCTACGTACGGTTATCAATACGTATCCACAGTAGGCACTGTAATCGCTATAGTATTGATTGCATTGCATAAAAGTTCATCGATTTATATAGAAAAGATATAAAACGAACGTACGGTGCTCAGCATACGTATCCACAGTAGGCACTGTAATCGCTATAGTATTGATTCCATTGTATAATAGTTAATCCATGTATATAGAAAAGGTTAACTCGTCCGCGCTCTCTGCAGATTGGCATCCAGTACGTGGGACTGTGCTGTGGTAATATGGCGTGCTACATGAGAACGATTGCAGAGACCCTTGGGAGAACACCGCCAGCCAGCAAATACTCCCCGAACATGGACGAACATTTTTGCTTCAGTACAGAAGATGGTGGCAAGCTACATACATACAACACTAAACACTTGGCTAAAACTGTGGGCTGGAAGAAATAAGGTTGAAGAGTATATGCATAGGAGCTAATACTACCATGACCCTTTTAATGGAAACGATATGTTCTTGGAACCTGTCTCTAACATCCTCTAAAAGAGGTCAACTGGTTCATTGGTTAAGGCTTCGTTAAAAGTAGCCTGACCAGGCTCTACGACTGTTTCTCGTTGTAGGGCATGTCAACACAGTGTGAAGCGAAAAGCTAACTGGCTTATTTAGGAGGTATGATGTTACCAGTTTTATTAATGATGGAAGAGTACCATAAAAAAATATAGGAAGTTAATACTGCTAAAAAGTTATTGTATTTTTCTAAAACTGATAGGAGACGTTTGTCTGCTCGTATCACCGGATTGCAGTATAAGCTCAGTTCTAGATCTATCACTATCAGCGTTGATATAATTAACACCACAATTATGATATATTAATGTCATAGCTGCATTCATTTTAGGGTTTGTATTTAATAAACAATCCTCTCTTAAGGCTAACAATAGTATTCAACGCAAAAATTTATCACATATATGTGTATATATACATATATATATATGTATTCAATATACATGCGGATCAATAATCACGTTATATATTGTACAATATGTTACATTATGCTGAGCTGAAAATTAGTTTTGACGAGCATAGAATGTTGCGTTACATCCAGCAAAGTAACAGATGATCAATTAACTGGGTTTAGCTTGAAGTCCACTTATGAGCCGTTACATGCAATTAAGGTTATAATTGCTTTTAGTTTACAATTACAGAAATATGCACAGTTGACATAACAGTAACAAGTCGTCTGATAATGATAATAATTATGGATTTATTGAAACAAAGCATATTGTCACATATATAAGCATTGATACATTAATACTATTATTTACATCACGAGTTGGTNTAGAATCTAAAACAGGATAAGAAACTAGAGCACAGCATTTATCCCGACGAAGCTAATTAATACTGCACAAATCTTGAAACAATTTTTTATATAAGACCGGTTATAAAATCAAAATCTGTGAGATCAATAAAGTACAAGTTCCTATCAATGTCGTTTTCAATAGTGCGAGCTCATGCAGGACAGATCGAGCTAGAAATAATAAAAGAGGTCGTAATTTATCACGTATTCCAAAAGCATTATATCCTACACTATCCTATATATATCATGTATATTATACAACGTTATAATGTCTTATTGGTGTTTGAACCAGACACGTATCCTACACTATCCTATATATATCATGTATATTATACAACGTTATAATGTCTTATTGGTGTTTGAACCAGACACGTGTGTGCGTGCGTGCGTGCGTGCGTGCGTG